GAGAGAGAGAGAGAGTAGTCCCGCTCTCGCTGTGCCACCGCCCTCTTCGAAGAACGACGACGATCGCTCTCCCCTTTGGAATTTGGAGCGTTGACATCGGCGCCTCGCGGAGTAGACTTAGACACTTGACTCAAGAATGCCGGGCCAAAAAGATCCCCCGGTCAAGTAAAACTAACGTCGCGTCAACGTCTGACCGTAAAGAAGTACAAGACATGAAAAATAACAGTCATTTGTTTTGTTTGTTTTTTTTTTTTTTTATCAATAAATTGTAGACTCCGATGACACTATGGCGACATTTATCGATTTCTCGTAGATCTCGGGTGTTTGCGGGAATTAAAAGTAAATTTTTGCTTCTCTTTATACACGTACTCGTATTTTCGCGTACTCGTAACCGCTAAGGTTACAAGAATGCCGCGACTAAAAATGTTTTCCATACGAGTGGCCGCTCCCTCGTTTGCGCGCGGCGTGACAACGTCAGCGCGTCGTCAATCATACTCCTCTGTCTCGGCGCTGCTTATTCTCGGAAGGTCTCCAGGAAAATTCGCCCGGCACGTTTTTCTCGTTTTTCGCGCATGATCTTTCTATTAGTTAGTCTTTTAGTAACGTCGAGGAAAATTCAAATTAGCCATTCATTAGAGGCGACTCGAGAGACGTCGGGCCTCGCTCGTCGCGAAATGTTTATCCCATCGCCGTGGCCGTCATTATTTCTCCAACTTAGCGAGGCGCAATTAATGTGTGTCGCGATTAACGGACGCGATACGCATAATTTCAAGTAGCCAGTCGAGCGGATAACGAGTGTGCGCGCGTGTTAATCCCGCGCAAAGTGGAAAAGCACGTCGTTTACCGACGATAATTGGCGGAGGATAGTTTACCGGGCGTTCATTAATAATCCCTTTCGAAGACGTGCGACGGAGGGCACGAGTATAACGAGCGTTCGTCGAAAGGTGACGTGACGTCCTATTGAGAGAGAGAGAGAGAGAGAGAGAGAGAGAGAGAGAGAGAGAGAGAGAGAGAGAGAACGAGCGTCTCATTTTATTTACGCAATGCTCGCGACATTCCTGTCGCGCTGCATTGTTTTAGCAGGTGTCGGTGACTGATGTGCCTCGACGTGTCTATGCGATTCGTATTTGGTGTTGTATATTTTAACAACATTCCATATGCGCACATTACGCCAATGGTACTTCGTCGATAGGCGTATCTAATTCGACTATCAGCCCTTCACTGTACAATCATACGTATTTCAACCGATTTCTATTTCTGGACGTTTCTCGGAATTTCAAAGATAATTAAATTGTACTACATTTTATTGTTTTTTTTTCCTAAAATAAAATACAGATATTCTAGGAAGTTGGAAGAGCGTTCACGAATTTTTATAGATTCTTTGAACCATTTTTCAAACGGACGAAAAATAGTAGGTTCAAATTTTAGCATTCGCAGGCGATGCGATAACAAGGTTGTTTAAAATTCTTACGATTCATTAATTCTCTCTTTTAAGTGGCGGAATATTTTGATGTTCTCTTGACGAGACTATTACATCGACGTTTCGTCCGACGCATAGTACAACGGTCATCCATCCGTCTGTGCCATCAGTGCGATATGTCAAGCATGGCGCCATGTCCCGCGGAGTAGTGGCGAGCATGCGAGTAATTTTCGCGTTTGGAAATAGAACGAAATAAAAGTACGATCGCGCCACTATCCTAGACCGTTTCGTGCTGCACGCATTCGCTCATAGTTCACAATCTTATGGCAGCTCGCGCGGTCATCGTCCAATAATAATTATAACATCCTCTACATTAAATTTATCGACGTATATTAATTGAAAAAAAAAAATCACAGTTTTTCAGAATGCTTTTGGAAGGTTATACGTTTCATATTTTTTGCTCGCGATATATTGCGATTAATTAAAGAATTTTACCTTTACGGTGTAAAAATATTAAAATGTATGCGCAGATAAGATAATTATTCAAATGATCTGTTCGAAGAAGGCCTCCGTTTGTTTTTCTTACTTATTTCCGCAAAATCTATTTGCCAGAGTAAACACAGGAATGCTGAAGAGACACCTTGTATTCTCGAGTCGGAATAATTCGTGCGTCTCTTATTGCAGGATATATGGACAAATAAACGCTCTTCATTCCACTCTATCCTTCCCTCTCCTTCCCTCCCCCGTCTCTTTCTACTTCTTCCTTAACGTTCAAACCAACTAAAGGAATTTTTCTTGTTGCGAACCGTCCGTATACCTTGGGCTAGGGCTGCCTTGATCGACATTTAATTGGGCCAAGACATCCAGGCACCGAGAAACGCAGACGGCCCTGAGGAGTTTACCGAGAGAGCTTTACCAGCCGAAAGGGAGGGCAGGGGGAATTCTCTCTCCGGGCGAGGAACGAGAGCGCAAGAGATGTGGAACGAAGGAAGAGGTAAAGGCGGAAAAACAAGAAAGAAAGAGAGGGAGTGAGGGAGAGGCACTGCGTTCGCGCGGAGGCCAGGCGTCTGATTACTAGCCAACGCAGGACGCCAGACGTACATAACTAAATAACTTCCTAAATTCTATATCATTTTGGAGCGGGCTCCGACGGGTGAAATAGCGTGTCTAGACCTACGGCGCGACTCGTTGCGAGAGAGAGAGAGAGAGAGGGGGGGGGGTTAGTAGGGACAGGTTCGCGTCGGAGTCTGGCGAATGTGATATCTGTCACTGCGATTCGTTCCGTCGTATTCAATAAATTAAGATTAAGGAGAGTAGGAATTTTATTTATAATATAAAGCTGATTTTGTGGATTTTTACTCGACTCTATCTCTAAATATCACATTATTATTTGTTGCTCGACAGATTAATTTCATATTACTTAGCTTCCATTGCATTTATTATAAATTAATCCAATTTCATTTTTTCCGCTAGTTAATTCAATTAAATATTTTCCGAGATGAGATCTCGTGAGATCTCGTGCAAAGCGCTTTTTAAAATGGTCGATTGTAAAAACGAGGTATCAAGTTGAAATATTATAAATTGCTTTGTTATTTTAATTTCCATCACACAAATCGCGCATTCCATTGATTACGACCTTCTATCGTTCGCACGTATGTTTGACGAGGGAACTTCATATTCGCTCGGAAATTCCAATCTTAATACAACTTCGACACAAGTCTCGTTTTCTCTAAACGTCGCTACCGGGCGATGACGGCAACGAAATATGGACATCGGAATATGGAAAAAAACATAATAGCACTTGGAAAAAGAGACCTGGCGTGTTATATACTACGGTGTGGGGCGTTTCGATTATAGAAAAACGAAATTATAGGCTTCCGTACTTATAAAACCGTCGTCGGGGCCGAAGCTATGCGGCCTATTACAAAATTGCGTTCACGGGATCGCGCGAAACGAGTTTCTAAAATTAGAGAATTTATGAGCGACGATCCTTTCTCGGTTCCGCCCGATGGGAGATATACGCCATTCGCGATCCTTTTTTAACATTTCGGCCAAACATTCGGTCTCGTTCCTCCGCATTGGTCGACACCGCGAAATCCAAATTAAACGCGACATTTCTTTCTCTTTCGGATAACACACGTAAATCGCGAGATTTATATATACGCGCGCTATTAGGTGGCCGATTAAGCAACGACACGCCGTTATTTTTCACGCGTTGACGATCCACACCTGTTGATTCGGGGCTAAAACTTTTTCAAGCTCTCCACACTCGACGTTCGTTTATTTTTGAACGTTGAGTTTTGGGAATTAGTTTCGCTAACGGCGAAAAGTAATTATTTTTGAATGTAAATACACAGAAAAAAATTACTCTTAAATCAAGATTATATATTCTTATATATAAGCAAAAATATTATAATCTTCTTGGAGAAATTTTAATGTTGATGCAAACACAAATATTCTCATATTCAAGCAAGAATATTAGCTATGAGCTTTATATAGATTTTTAATCTTGAGTTGAAAAAAAATAATACTTGCATCAATATAAATTGAATCAAATCAAAACTGAAATTTTTAAGAAGATTATAATGTTCTTACTTATATATGAGAATATTTTTCTTGATTTAAGACTAATTCTTTTTTTGTACACAGATGCAGATAATAAAACAAAAGTGCGTAATAAATTTGTGTTGCAGATTAGGCATCTATGTTAATGAGCGCGGTCAACAATGCAATTCTCAGTGTTTGGTAAGTATAAAACGATCTTTAAGAGAGAAGTAATCAGTTTCATTTTTTCGAAAGGCAGAGAACTTCCGAAGCACGTAAACGTCTTCGTTTCCGCAATTATTCTTTATGCGCTCAAAAAAATATTTCCATCGGCATCTCTCCGTTTCCTTTGTCATACGACATAGCGGTACTTCTTTGTGTTATCGGTAAGAGAGACATGATGGTCGGGTATCTTCTTCGTGGGCGACATAGTGACTAAAATTTGTCCTGGAATGTTGACCCTCGAAGGGAAGCGCAATGCCGGCGTCTGTCTGATCGTCTGACGACCGATAATAATTTGACCGTATCCCATTCTTCCTAAACGTCTAAACCCGTCGTCACCAGTCCCTTTATATAAAGAAGAGACTCGACTATTTTCAATGAAACGCATCTCGGAATACGCAGAAGTGAGATCATTCATTCAGAGACAGTGACGTTTTATTTGAATGAATTTAAATAAATTAACGACGCGAGATTATTTAACACACTTGAATTCGGTCTTTTCGAATTTCAGAATATCGCGAAGTGAGAGAGATTCATATATTCGTGCATATAAAAGCTGCATTCGGCGGAGCGAGCTATTAGCGCTATCACGTCATTCTATCTTTATCGCTCATTAGTCGTAAAGAATAATGCGACGGCGCTAATAGCGCGCTGCTCCCCGAACGCGGCCAAAGGCCGTAAAGAGATCCGATTCGAATTCGAGCCCCGAGAGAAAAAGCCTCGTTGAGATTTCGCGCCGAGCCGGCGTATGTACGTGCCTCGATTTCGCGAGGCGCCGGTGCGCCGCGCCGCGCCGCGCCGCGCCACGCCGAGTCTGCGGGTTATTCGGCGACCGGAGCGCCACCGTCGACGCGGCCATGTTTGACGGTCTCTTTCGCTCTTGTGTGTTTAGTATGCTACGGTCGGTGTGTCGGCGCGTTGTCGAGATAGAACGAGTGGAGCGGGAGTCGAGCTGGCGAAACGCTGGTGAGGCGTGAGAGAGGTGGAAGATCAGGCGGAGCGGTAGGGGCGACGACGGCCGGTAGCGGCAGCGGTGGTGGAGGAAATCGGGGTGCGCGGCGCGCTCGGTGACGGAGAACCTCGTGCGTACCAGTCGCATTGCCGAGCTTAGCCGAGTCGGAGTCGGCGAGTCAGTCGTGCGCGCCCCGCGGTTGGTCGGTGTGCAACAGTTCGTCCTGTACACCGACGGCGTTGATATTCGTCGCGCAAATACGATACGAGATATAAAGGTGAAGAAGAAGGAAGAAAAAGACAAGGGGAGAAGAGCGGAAGACGAGTGCTCGAGAGCTCTGGCAAAGAAGCGGCGACAAGTGGCGATCTCGTTCGTAACTGCACGAGACATCGACGTCGCTGATCATCGGAGAAGCGCCGTTCTCTCTGTGGCGCCGTACGTTCGACCTTTCTCTCTCTTTTTATCTCTCTTTCTCTTCCCCTTCCCCCCCCTCCTCTCTTTCTTTCTCTCTGCTCCCATCTCCTCCCGTTGAGTTATACATCCAGATTCCGTCTCGCGTACATCGTACGCGCCGATATCTCCAACTTCCCTTCCCCTCAGTCCTCCCTACGACGTATCTCTCGCTCTCTCCGTCGTTCGCACGATCGCGCTCGTTCTCTCGTTCTCTCGATCGTGAGAGTACCGCCCCTGCCGCGAGTGTGTCGCTCGCGTTCTGTCCCGCGGGGGCCAGCGATTTTAAGTATGTGACCAGTGCGCGTCCTCGCGGTTGGTCGAACGGTAAGCGCGGCGAGCGAGTTTTCCACGAGAAAATCGGCGGAGCGGTAGAGGCGACGGAAGGGCGATGAGTGTCGGGAGTCATCGTACCGGCGTTGTGTTGTCACGGTGGTGAAGCGCGTGGAAACGTGTAGCGCGAAGAGATACAAGAAGAAAGAAGAGAGAAGGACGGACGATGCGAGCGGAAAATGTCACTTGGTGATACGCGTGCACGGATGACGGGGAGTGATCGACGAAGCGACGCTCGCGAGTCTGAGGTTGTCCAAGTGTCGCCGCAGCGGCGGTGGTGGTGGTGGTGGTGGTGGTGGCAGCGGTCGTCGCCGCCGCCGCCGTCGTCGTCGTCGTCGTCGTCGTCGTCGTCGTCGTCGTCGTCGTCGTCGTCGTCGTCGTCGTCGTCGTCGCCGTCGCCGTCGCCGTCGTCGTCGTCGTCGTCGTCGTCGCCGTCGTCGTCGTCGTCGTCGTCGTCGTCGTCGTCGTCGTCGTCGTCGTCGTCGTCGTCGTCGTCGTCGTCGTCGTCGACGTCGCCGCCGTCATCATCGTCGTTGTCGTTGCCATCGTCCCTACACGGTGCCGGCAACGTGGTGCCGGCATCGACGACGATACGAGGGCCGGCTCATCGGGAGCAGGAGGCCCGTTATCGCGTTCCGCGAGCATCATCAAAATCAAACTATCGCACGACGGCAACGTTCCCATCGTCAACGTCGTCACCGAGTCTGTTATCGCCGCGTCAACAGCTGGCGAGAATCGTGGCGAACTCATCCTGAAGGGAAATTCTCGCGCGACGCGACGTCGCCGGCGTGTATACACCGCGCGCACCGTCTCGTAAAGTGCATACGTATATTGTATACATACACGTACACACATAGAGACATATACATATATACGCGCGTGTGTCGGTGTGCTGGGTCGCGAGGTTAAGGCACCGCATCGCCCTCGATACGCGACGGCCGAGGAAAGTAAAGGCCGGGTGTCGTGCGTGCGCCGACCGATTCGTTTCGTGTTCACCCTCTTCTCCCTCCCCTCGTTCCTCCCTCTCTTCCTTCTCTCGTTCTTCCCTTTCTCCTCTCTCCATCATCTTCCCCCCCCTCTCCGCTTTCTTACCCTGTCTCTTCTTTCTCGTCGCTCCGGCTCCCGCATACGTGTGTGTAACGGATAAGAAGCGTACCAGTAGCAGCGCGCGCGTTCATCGGTGGTAACCTCGGCGGTGACAGCGTGTGCGTGTGTGCATGCGTGCGCACGTACATGCGCGCGTGCGATCGTCCGAATCGTGCGCCGCGTGGTGCGTCTTGTACATACGTCGTCGAACGGCGACGTGTGCCGTACGCGTCGACTGGCGCGTCCGCGAGTCGGCTGTCCGCGATGTCGACAGTGGCTCGCCGCATACACGATCGTCGTGCAGATTACCTGCGAGGATACCGCGAGGTGATACCGATACCGTCCAAGATAAGCGCCTGGACACGTGAGAGAAGCTAGGGTGCGAGGTTTCGAGGAACCGAGGCTCCCGCGGCTCCGTGAAAGAGAGGAGAGGACGAGAAATAAATGAGAGTTCAAGGTCAGCCGGTAGTGCTGTTGGACTCGGAGCACGTTCGTGCGTGGCCAAAAAACTTATCCGAATAAGAAGGTGGACCGTGTGTTCCTCGCCATCGCCGCACGTTGGAAGTCCGAAATATCGTCGGGAGAATAACGCGCACGCCGCCGCACCGCCAGTCGTCGATCGGAGAAACGAAGAAACGGGACAGTGTCGGAAAAGCGAGAGGAGAGAGAAAGAGGAGAATCTCGCGTGAAGCTGCTCCGGCCGCGTCGTGCCACACGTTGGACTGTCACACTATTTCGGGACCGTGATCCAAAGTGCGCGCGCGAGATACGCGCGCGGGACATAAATAAATATACGCGCTTGCGCGAGCGACTTGCCGCGACTGTGTTGTGTGCGTGTGTGTGAAAGAGGGGGAGAGAGAGAAAGAGAGAGAGAGAGAAAAAGCGAGAGAGAGAGAGAGAGAGAGAGAGTGTAGGCTCCATCATCTGTGATTTTTTTTCGTGTACGCGAAGAGGTGTTTTTCGTTGACAGTGCGTATTTGGTGTTTGTTGAAGAGAAGAAAGAAAGAAGAAGAAGAAGAAGAAGAAAAAGAAGAAGAAGAAGAAGAAGAAGCAGAGGAAGAGGAGGAAGGAGGACACTTCGCGGAGGAGGGTGTTCGAAGAGGGAAGTCGCGCACGAGCGACCGCGTGTCGCGTGTTGTACGCGCGTGGTGCGCACGCGTTCGAGATCCAGCCCTCATCCCGCCCCTGGAGCCTCCTTTTGATTTTTCCTACGGCGGCTACGTTGAAAAGGACTGGCCACCAAATGCGCGTACCACAAATCCTGTTTCATGTTGATGTTCTGGAGCAAACGGACGGTGCTTACTAGACGTCTGCTAAAGGCCAAGGTCCGTGGAGAGCATGAAACCGAGTGTGAAGCTCAAGAGGATTCATCGTCACGTACGTTTCATCGCACGAGCAGCAGCAACGCGTGCGGCGTCGCCGCTGGCTACGACAACAACACGGGCAGTAACAACAACAAAGCAACGACGACGGGCCGACAAGTGAGCAGGGTAGCGGCGCGTGGGACAGCGTTGCCGGGGAGCGGTGCGGGGGCAGGAGGAGGAAGTGGCGACGGCGGCGGCGCGGTGGGTTACGGGGGACGCAACGCCGCGTCCAACAGGCTGCATCAGGGCTGTTGCGGCGGCGATACGAGCCAGGATGACGACGAGCGGCAACAGAATCACGGCCGGCTGCTGAGGTGCAAGGAGCTCCTGAAAACGCTCAAGGAGAATCAGTTGGAGATGCTGCTGACCGCCGTCGAGAGCTACGGCGCCGACCTGGGCTCGTGCGTCCTTGTGCCGCGACAGCAGCGACAACCGGCCGACAACTATCCTTACGACCAGCAACACGAGCAACAGCAATATCACGGCAGCAACGGCAGGCCGCACCGTCATCACGCCCGTCACTTTCATCAGCGTCGCTATCGTCACTATCGGCACCACCGCTCCAGCAGACACCATCGCTCGTCCTCGGTCGAGGACGATCAGGAGAGCTGCTGCTCCGCGTCGGAGGACTCGTTGTCCGCGTCGCCGATGAGATCGGCGAGAAGCGACGACGGGGGCGGTGTCGTCGTGCCGGTGAGAGGATCGGCGGCCGGGAGGAGCGCCGGCGCGCCCTACGATCCGCACCTGCTCTGCTGCCAGATCTGGCGGTGGCCGGATCTCGAGCACTCCTCGGAGCTCAAGAGATTACCTATGTGTCATTCCGCTAAAGATCCCGTATACATTTGCTGCAACCCTTACCACTGGAGCCGGCTCTGCAGACCCGGTAAGTGAAACGATTTTGCGCTTCTTTTTCGCTCTTCTTTCGCGTTTATTATTTTGTTATCATGAAAAGTAAGTCGAACAGACCTGAGCGGAATTTTCGAAGGAAAATGTATTACGTCTCGTGCTTATCGCAAATACTCGTAAAAATGGACGGAAACTAAAGTTACCTTAGAATTTTATACATAACAGCATATTTTCCATTCCTTCCAACATCCTGAATAAGCTGTGTTTTTGCTTGTGTCTTTTACGGTTATTTATTGACTGTGAAGAAGGGAAAGGATAGTTTCCGCCCATTTTCACAAATGTCTTAAAGAAACCTTAATATATCTTTTCTTGCTTACGATGATGATTCAATATGACTGGTGACTACTCAGGAACCTTAAAGATTAAAATCAAAATAAATATCGATGTTTGATATATCGAGTAATCATAATGGCAAAATAATATAAAAGGCATAGTCAAAGATGAATAGTGAAAATTGTCAATTACAAATAAGTTATCCAAAATCATTATGTAGAGTCATAAATTATTTATGATCAATTAGAAACTTATAACACGTAATATGGCTAAGAATTTTATGAAAACAATATCATTTGATACACACTCCGATTATATAACGATCATTATTAAAATGTGCAATTTATATATGTACATCTAATGTTGGTTCTTGGTATTGTAATTACCGATTTTATTTACAGAGTCTTGAATCATTTCTTTGATACTATAAATTATTTTATTCTCTTTTGAGTCTAACTAAAAATTATTCGATAATTAAGCGTGAATCTGCATTTAATAAAAAATCGAGTCACATTAATAGGTTTTTTTACATTTTTTTCGAGAACTATTTTCTGTACAATATTATTGAATGTGTCTATCCGTCGCTGTCAGTATTTAGTCGATAGAATAATTTAACATCACAATGCACAGCTGGCTGCATCGCAACACTAAACCGCAAGCCGAGCGGTTCACTTGTCACCTGTACAGACTTGTTCGATGTTAACGAGTTTAAAGGTTCGGGTAAATTTATTTGCGATAAAATAGGTTTGATAATCGATGATTTATTCATTTCAAAATGTAGACATAGGTAATATATATTTCCAAAAGGAAAGGTGCCGAATACCAACGATTTTCCACTTGACGAAGCTGAGGAGACAAATGAGAAATAGAAACACCTGTTACTTACGTAAAAGTTCTTGCAAAAACACGCGGTAAAATTTTGTAAGATTAGCGTGCATCGATAATAAAAATTTTTACGATAAAAAATTACATCTAATAACAGCTAAAATTGCTAAAGTTTGCTAAAATTAATATCCATTTTTTTGATTAAATTAGAGATATTAATCGTAATTACGGATTAAAAAAAGATTTAATTTAAAATATGTAGTCGATATAATGATATATCTATTTTTTTTTCTAAAGTTGGAAGGGTACGACATTCAAGCAAGCATCGTCTACTTTTTTCTTTTCAAATACGGTCTCTTTAAACTGATACTAAGTCAACCGCTTTAAAAGTTGGAAATCAAACCAAAAGATTTATTTCGCAACTTTGTTCCTCTAATCTTTATGAAATTGACTCCATTTTTTTTTTTAATTTGGAAAAAAGGAACACTATTAGCAGTTCTATTTGCCTATCAAGAGCTATTGATTATCCTTAAATCAAACAGTCGTTCCCTCTGATTGAGAATTTTAAAATTCTTCACGAGGGGGGGGGGTAACTAGAACTGTGCTTAATTTTTTCAAATTCTAACTTCTTCAAAGTTCCAACTTCATAGAGATATTTACATCTTCTTCTCGTTCTCGTACGGAAATCAAATTTATCATCATATATATTCATATCTGCCAAGATCTTCTTATAAGATGCACCGGACGAATGTGTTTATTCATTCATCTAATGATACTTGTGTTAATGGTAGGAAAGTGAAAACTAACACTGAGTCATCGGTAAACTTTACAAGCTTGCGTAGAAATTCCTGTGGAAATTCAGCAAATGGAATAGATTTCAAACACATGGTAGCTTTAAAAGAAAAAAAAAAAGAAACGTTTGCTATTTTAATAAGGTTTTAAATAATTTATCATTTTCGTTATCTTTAGATACATGTATTTCGAAATGGAGGCATGTGTTTCTTCACTCTGACTTCGCCTGTAAAGAGTTTCTTCAGACATTTTTCAGAACGGTATCTTCGTATGCCTATGTAATGTTGTAAGCTACGCACGGGGTATGACGCACGACTTCGCTATTTACGCAGTGTACTTGTGGCATTTGTCGGTTTAAAAGAAAGCGTTGAATTTATAGGCCCCACCGGCCTGCGACTGTCCTGCGAGTACGTCGTTTGCGTCGTCGTGACTTCAACCGCAAAAAAGCGTCGCATCCTATAAAGCAGGCGGGCGCGAGAAAGGAAACGAACGAGCCAGGCGCCAGCAAAATGCGCCTTTACGTAACCCCGGCGATCGTTTAACCCGTCGCCGCCGCCGTCGCAAAGCCCAAGTCGAGCGAATTCGATCGTACGAATCGTGATGATATTGATGCTTTGATACATCGCCATGCACGCGTGTCACGGCGATGGAATCGATGAATATTAATTATGTTCGATCCAAATGTGTAAACTAGATAAAAATATACATATTTGTATCATCTGTGAATGGAGACATATATTAGAAATATATATATATATATATTTTTGAGAGGTAAATTTTCCAATATTCTTTTTGCTAAAATTTGTAAAACAGAATATTCAAATATTCCCCAGAGGAATAGGCAAATATTTGAAAAATCGTCAAAACTCGTTTCGAATGAAGGAAAATTTATGCAATATAGGAAATTACGTCCGATAGCACGAAATCGTGTTTTTTAATTTAATTTTAACTCGCGCTTTTTGGACACACCGTGAATGTGCAAGGCGAACATCAGGCGACACGCCCATAGGCTCGGATTATAAATAAAAAACTTCATATAATAAATATTCGATAACAAAATTTAGCTTGTGTAAAATTGACGAGCGGGAAAAGATACGCCTGGAATATATATTTAATATTTCTCGGTTAAAAGATCCACGTAGGTAAATCACACACAAGTTGATTGAGCCAAGTGAATGCCGGCTAAATAATAAGTCGCGCGCCGCGATGCTCGCTTTTGCCACGGATTATAAGAGCTCGTCTCGCTCGAAGTGGTCGCGATAAATCGAACCGCTGGCGAGTACACGGGTAAAAATCCCGCAGAATCCTGGCAGCGAACGTATCGCAACCGCAAGTGTCGCGGTAAAGTTATAAAATCGGTACGTACGGATCGGCATTCCTTAGCCGTGTTTTAAAGACGACATATAATCCGTGCGAGATCGCGCTGAGTAGGAAGAAAAGTGCGACTTTTTCTGCATAAACGCGATGCTCGTAACATGACCATTCACGCGAGTGTCCACCGGCGCCGGTGGCCTAATCGTGACGACGTCGATTTGTTACAGTCGAGCGCGCCGCGAGCACATTTATCGATAATATCGAGCGTTTATTGCTGAAAAAAAATCGTGTCGAATAGGCGCGACCGATCCGCCGGCGCGACACCTCCGCAGAAAAAGACTTGCGGAGGTGCGAGATAAAATCGCGACCGTGTTTCGTAATTAACGGCGCGCGACGCCGAGGAAAATAAGCGGATCCTTCGAATTCCACGCTGAGGTTTCCACGGCTAATAATAGCCCGTATGCGATCTCGCTGCGCGTAAGCATGCCCGAGGAAGCGGGCGCATTTGGAGAAAGCGAGCGAGAAGGACGGGTGTCGCGTCGCGCGCGGCAACGACGAAGTAGTCACGTCAGCTGCGCGAAAATCCCCCCCCTCTCCTTTCCCCCCGCCTCCGATCGTGCTCCAGAAAGAAAGATCGGATTCTTGTCGTTAACGCGGGGAAAAGACGCGGAGAGAAAGACGTGGAAAGAGCGACGCGCGTTGAGAGAAAAGAAAGAAGAATGTGCGAGAATGTAGGCAGGGAGATCCGTATTAGACGACGAGAAGGAGCGAGAGAGCGG